CCATGTAGTCGACCATGATTCAAATCCTGGACATGGTAGCTTAAACTCACGCTAGGAGCTTGTGCGTGTGTGCCCAAGATCCCAAGAAGAGACTGGAGGAGAAGGGATTGCGGCATGGCCATCCCCCTGGGGGGTGATTTCTCACTTTCTGTCTCTTTGTCTCTCTCTCTCTCTCTTTCTGGTGAGTACACGTACCCTATAGCAAAAACCTCTCCAAAAACAACAACAAGAGAGAGAGAGAGAGAGAGAAAGAGAAAGAGAAAGAAAAAGAGACCCATCTAGGCTCCCACCATCTTGGCTTTGACTGTCCTGTCCTGCAATCACAGCTTAATTCCCTAAAGTGCTCTGCATTCCCTCCTCCGTTCAGTCTATAGCTATTGAGTATTCGCTATGTGCCAGGCTCCATTCCAGACCTCAAGCTGATATGTCCTCAATTCCTTTAGAAGTGACATTGTAGAGAGAGAGAAGTAGTCAATAAACACATTGTGCCAATCAGCTCAGGCTCCATCAGTATCATCGATTGTGGGGCTCAAACAACAGAAATTTATGTTCTCATAATTCTGAAGGCTAGAAGTTCAAGATCCAGCCAATTTGATTTCTCTTGAGGCCTCTCTTCCTGACTTTCAAATGGCCATAATCTGACTATGTCTTCGCATGGTCTTTTCTTCAGTGTGTGCATGTGGGCAGAGAGAATGAGAATGAGTTGTGAGGTATCCTTTTTATCTTCAAGAGCAACAATTCTATCCATTCAAAGTCCTGCCCTATTACCTTCTCTAATATTTTTTTAATTATTTATTTTATTTTATTCATCGTTATCATTATTATTTTTAATTTTGCTACAGGGCACTTGCACTCACCAGAGAGAAACAGAGAGAGAAAAAGGGACAATGAGAAAGGAAGCCACTAGGCCCAGGACTTGAACCTTGGTTGTCCATATGGGCATCTAGAGTCCTAAACACCACACCAGCTGCTGGCCCCTTGTTCTTATTCACTTCCTTAGAGGCCCCATGTCCAAATATGGCCACAGTCGAGGCTAGAATTGTAATATATGAATTTGGAGGGGACATGTTTTGTCCATAGGATGCACAAGGAGAGGTTTTATAATTACTACTTTAGATAGTGACAAGGACACTGAAAAATAAATAGATTAGGAAAAAATGATAGAGAACAATTGGGGTAGAGATGGCAGTTGTTACTTTAGCTACAGGCTCTCTGAAGAAGAGAACATTGAATGAGAACAAAGGTGAAAACGGGCAGCCTTCTTGGAGATTGGTGAGGTGATGTGCTAGGCAGAGAGAATCGCCAGTTCGGTGACCAGGTAAGAGGGATAATGGCAAAATCATGGGACATAGGATGATCAGTGTGCTCGGATCCTAGCTGGCCAAGGGTGAGAAAAACATACTAGAGAAGTAGGCAGTAGCCTGACTGTGCTGACTAATTAAGAAGTTCAACTTTCATTACCATTGCAACTAATGTGCTGATAACGTGGAATTTAAGTGATCAAGGAAGCTGGCAGGTGGTGTGATGCTTGAGGTGCTAGACTCCCACATGGCCAACTGCAGTTTGAGTCCCAGACCTGGCAGTTTGTTTTCTCACTTTCCCTTTCTATTTTCCTTTTCTTGAGAGATGTTTGCTGTAGAGCACATGTACTCGCTAGAAAGACCCAGAAACAGAAAGCAAGAAATCACTCCTCAGGGGGATGGCCACATTGCAATCCCTTCTCCATTCTCCTCTCGAGATCTTGGACACCCACACACACACGCCCGGCATGAGTTTAAACCACCAGGTTTGGGACTCTAACTGTGGCTGACTACATGGGAGTCCAGCGACGTAGCCAATAGGTCAACTGCTGGTCCCTAGTCAATATCTTTTAAATTTCGTATAGGGCACACATGCTCAGCAGAGGAAGTAGGAAAGCAAGCCATCAGGTCTGAGACTCAAACCATGCTGTTGACCATGTGGGAGTTCAGCATCTTCACCACCACACCACCTGCTGGCCCCCACTCAATAAAATGTTTGAAGTACAATGATGAATGCTTTCTTATGTAATAGCTTTTAAAAAGTGTTGATTTTATTAGGTACAATTTGCAGCATATTCTCTTTTCAGTGTAGAATGTGCTAGACACATACAATGATATAATCACCTCAACAATCAAGATATGGAAACGCTCCTCAAATTCCCTCATGTTTGTCTAGAATAAACTCCTTCCTCCACTTGGACTTTACTACCCATTGGTTTATTTTCTGTCGCTACAGTTCTACCCTTTCCATTTTACGACAGAAATGGAATTTTATAGTTATGCAGCCTTTGCATCTAACTTCTTTCATTTAGCGTAATTCACTTGAGATTAATCGTGCTAAACAGATCAGTGGTTATTTCCTTTATCACTGAGCAGAGTTCTATTATATGAATATGCCAGTTTGCTTATCAATTCAACTGAAGGACATTTGGGTTGTTTTCACTTTTGAACAAGTATGAATAAAGTTACAATAAGCATTTACATTAAGTTTTTCTTTTCTTTTTCTTTTTCTTTTTTCTGAAAAATTGTTATAGGATGTATGTGTTCACCTGAGAAACAGAGACACAGAAAACAAGAAATCACTCCCTTCCTCCCCCCGGGGTGGGGGGTGGCCACACCCAAAATCCCATCTTCTCTTATCTTCTCTTGGAATTTTGGGCATGCACACACAAATGCCTGGAGTGAGTTTTGAGCCACTGGGTCTGGAACTCAAACTGGGGTCAGCCATGTGGGAGTCCAACACTTTAACCTCTATGCCACCTGCTGGCCCTGTATATTAAGATTTTTGTATAAATGAAAACTTTCATTTAACTTTAGTTAATACCGAGGTTTGAGATTGCAGGGTCATTTGGTTTGTATATGTTTAACTTTAAAAAAAACAACAACAACAACAAAAAAAAAACTGTCCAAACTGTCAAGCTATTTTCAAAATAGTTGTGCCATTTTTCATTCCTATGAGCAATGAATGAGAATTCTGTTTTTCTGTTTTCTGTGCATCCTTGCAACACTTACTATTGTCTGTCTTTCTCCTTTTTTTTGTTATTTGAATCAGTGTCAATATCTATTTTTTTTTTTTTACTTCATAAGTAAAACTTTAGAGGCCTAGTAGGTATGGCTAATAGGGATATGATGTATAATGGAGCAAGTTTTTCATAGACACTTTTTTCAAACAAAAAGTATGATACTAACAAATCCTTAAGCTCTAGAAAAAGTGAATTTAAGACTATAATTTCCTGATGCTTACTTGATGAGTTTTATAGTAGTTTTATAGTAGTCTAAGCTTAAAGAATGTGTTCCTTGAATTCTAGCAATCTTTTCTAAAGAATTATTTTATTTAATTTTATTTATTATCATTATTTTTTAATTTGACCAGAGAGACACACACACAAAGAAAGAGAGACAAAGTATGAAAGCAAGCTGCCAGGTGTGAGACTCAAACTATGGTCAGCCATGTGGGAGTCTAGCTCCTTAACTACCATGCCACCTCCGGCCCTGAATTCTAGCAACCTTGAATTCCTGTTCTTCTGTATTCAATTGGGATCTCATAGATTTATTAGAAATGTAACCCATGAAATTCTCTATTCAAAATACCATAAACAGGCCCAGCTATGATGGTACAAGCAGTAGTGTACTGAACTGAAAAGCTGGAAGCCACATGGTGACCTCAGTTCAAATTCCCAGCATGGTTGACCTGAAACAGCCCCAGTGAATGTGTAAATACTCAGTTCCTATAAGCTGGATAGAGGGAGGGCGTTGTGTCATGACTAGAACCTGTAGAAGGTGATTTGATCTCACACCCTTTTTCTCTCTCATGCACATGTATACACATGTACTCTACCATGAGTAAAGAAAAAAATTAATTTAAAAAGTAAAATATTAGTGGCCTCTAAAGCTTGATACAGATTTTGTCCCCAAATTCTAACCTCGATCATGCCTTTTTTTTTTTGTGAATATCGTAGTTAACTTTTCCTCAAAGTACGGCAAAGTGAAATAATGATTCCATTAACACTGACATGATTTTTCTGATCCAGTTTCACATCAGTGAAATAGTCCCTGTCAGGCAATCTGGTTTTGTCTGTCTTATGATTGGCTACTCCAGCCTTCATTTATACATGATATACAGCTTAAAATTCTGCTGGAGAACTTGGACATTAGGCAACTAGTGGATACAACTTAGGCTGAGGTGAACCTGCCATGGGTTTTCCTTTCTAGAAGCTACCCATTAATGCCTCTCAAGAAGGATCATCCGTCCTCTGATTTGTGGATTCCTGATCTTGCCCAGTATCATTCTGTAATTTTTCATTGCAGGGGTATGGGGGACTGGAAAATTCAGTACTTTTTATAGTCTATTTAAGTGTATCATGTAGGTCTGGTATCTTCACTAGTGTCTTTACTGAATCAAAAAAAAATTCTTATTCCAACCTAGACACAAATTAGTATCCTTGTACTCTTTTTATGGAGATGGAATGTTTTTCATGAGATCATGCATTCATGTCTACCCCAAAATATTCAGTACTTTCTAGAAATGGATTCTTATTTGGTAAATGAGATAGATGTAGATCCTGTGTGTGTGTGTGTGTGTGTGTGTGTGTGTGTGTGTGATAGCAGCTACCTTTATTTAAACTTAGTACTTTCGTTTTGCCTTTCAAAGAGCTTTCAGATGGCATTACCTGTTTAAATAACAGTGTCCATGTTTTTCTTTTCTTGCTGGTTAAAGACACCATTCCACTCACATGGCCTAAGAGAGATTTCCTTGCAGCCAATTTGATAAGATAACTCAGAGTTGTCGTTTTGTTCAGAACGATTTATTTCTCTTAGTAGAATCAGATACTGTAAATCTCTCGGATGCTCCTGTTAACAGTCGGTAGGAAAACATGCGGGTGAAACTCTGTCTTTCCCAGAGGTACTTGGTAGCATTTGATTAGCGGCCCGGCATGCAGCAGCTTCATGAATCTTCTTTTTTTTGTTTTCTGTTTGCAGATTTTATTCTTCACCGTACAGTATTGCAACCAACCGCATGATCCCACAGACATCTATCACACCTTTCATTGCTGCTTCCCCTGTCTCCACATACCAGGTACGTCCGATTTACCTGCACCTCAGGAAAGCTCGTCCTTGCTAATAATACACCGAATAGAGACAAAAAGGACATAGTAGAATTCCAAGAAGAATTGGCCCTCGTACACGTTAGTCCCCTCTTAATGTAATAATGCTTACGTTATGAATCAGCCAATACTTTGAAGGACCTGTTTTCATCAGTTCTCTGAATAATAAATAAATC